GGTATGCGACCGGTAAAGAACAGCGCAACCATATTACTGAAAACAGCACTGTAGTCGTCCTACATGTGCGTCGATACGCACGCCATTAACTCCCGGCAAGGCGAAAAGCTTAGGAACCGAACACGACGAACGATTCCGATAAGAATCGGGAAATTCATTGATGCGTGATCGTCGGAGGAGCGCCGGAGAGCAGGTTGTCGTGCAACTGACGACAGTACACGACACGACACGACACGACACGATACGGAAACATTCGATCGAGTCCGGGTGGGTAAAATAAAACAAGAAGACCGTTCGTAGTCGTCACGACCGTAATTATTCGATCACGTTTGGCTGCCGTGATTTGACTCGCGTCGTTGGCGCCGTGCTTGATACGCGCTAGAACAGTATACCGATGTTGTTTATATCGTTAACGATGCAGCAGCGCACCAATCTTTGACACGATCCAGATTCCGATCGGCGAACACCCTATGACGTGCGTGCGATTTTTCGACGAACGACTCAACCGCGAGAGCCTGCAAGGTCTCGTGAAAGGTACGACGTCGAAAAAACTGGCCGGATCGTATAACTGCGTCCCCAGTGCTCGGTCACGTTTGAAGGTTTCTGCACGATTTCCATTACCGACGGTTCTCGAAATGTCCGACACCCGGAAATGCGTATCGACGAGATTCAGAAGTCGAACATTGTCACTTGTGGATTCGCATACACGTTCCGGCCGCGTGGGAGACACGCTGAGGAGACAGGTCGTTACGGACCTACGGATCACACGATCATCCGGGCTTCGGATATATCTTCGACGACGGGATTTTGATTCACACTGTCCGAGCAGGAGGCCGAGTCCGAGCGTGCAAGGTCTCGTGATAGGTGCGACGCCAAAAATACACTGCGAAACCCGTAACGTAGGTGAGGCGGTTCAGTCGAGTCGAATGGCCCGCGCTTCTGTTCAACTCGAGACGCTCGGTACACGTGTACTCGACGAGCACGCGCGCACTAGGAAATAGGTACAGGTGGTTCAGGGGGATCCCAATTGTACCTCGTCGCCCTTCGACAGGCGAACGTGAACGATCGATCACTTACTCTGAGAAACACACGAACCACGAATAATGCTGACTTCGATGAAGTTTTCATCACTATTTTCACCGCGGACACTTCGTAGAAAACTGTAACACACTTCCCTCGGTTAGCTACTCCGCTCTCCGATGACGTTTGCGTGAACAGTCACTGAGGATACCGAAGATAACCGAATTTTTAGGGATATTCCCTGTAACCCCTTTGGTAAACTCTATTTCCGGATGAGCTGCGCAAGTATTCGTAGTACCAATAATTTGCAATGGTTCCTAGTGTGAGATTTTTCAAAGACATTATTCAAAAGAAAGTAAACACACAAGTACTGTAAAATGAGGATAAACGAGTCGACGAATTTGTGTAAGAATAATAGTGATTTCCATTGATCACTATACATTTCATTTTCAGTAAGTGTCATTAATAAGAAATACAGACGGATTAATGATAGTAGATGTTTTCTTATGAATCATGTCTAGAATTACGTTAAAAGAGTATGAAATCATCCCGCACTCTAAAATATACTTAATTAAAAATTAGTTTAATATAACATCGAGATATGTTCGAAGAATTCGGATTTGAAATCTGCGACTTACATGAAAAAATAAATTGCGGATTGCGGTTAAAACGAGACCCCCCCTTAGAAACGCGAGAGAACCGAGTTAGTGCTTCGTCGACGAAGCCCGTAGAGAAACTACTCGAAAGGTTCGACGTATCGCAGAAACAAGAAACTAGAGGAAGAGTAGGAGAGTTAAATAAGGATGGGTAGGACCATGCAGCTTGCATTGGGTTTTATAACTACCAAGGTCACTCGCTTTCCATAAGAATGACGACGTAAACGTCTCAACGGTGCGAGTCAATTAATGGAAAAGAACAAGCATTGGCTGGGCGATCGTCAAGATCAATGATGATGGAATTATCACCCAGTTAGTCGAACACCGCGACGGGAATACGCAACCTATTAGCTAATTTCATTCTTCCCATTTACAATACAATGAAATATGACTTGTAGCACTCGCATTAATCATGATTTTATATCTGGACTCCAAAAATTTCAATCAGACCATATCTGTTACCAGCGAATCAAGAATGCCTCGCGATTGGTTGAATTAATTTTATGGCGGTCAACGTTCAATCAGTTTTCGTATAAGATGTCTGTAACAGAATATATAATCAAATCGTCAACTGTTCACCCGGGCGTTTCTATTTGTAACCCCACGCATCGAAACGTCATTATTGATAATAAACACATGTATACTTTATAAGTTATCTCTTTGTTTGAACAATATGCCTGGTGCTTCGAACATATCTCAACAGTGGTATTATAAATATCAATATTCGATGTAATAATTTACTGCAGCCAATTAATGTCAGTAACGAATAATTAAAAAAAGAATATTAAATTACATTAAAGAACATGATCCGGTCAATCAATTTGAGTCTAACATAATTTAACTTAGGTCGAAGACGTAGTCGTATTATAGAGCTGAAAATTACTAGCTTGCCACTATTAGCCGATAGAGAGAGATAGAACGATTGGAATGCGATAAGGTTCTAAATTCAGTGAACTCTTGAATACATTATATCACACGAACGATGTTTTTATAGTTTCCTTTAACGTATGTAATGCATAGAACCACGTATAATGTGAACTTTAAAATCTGGCACGTTTAGTGTCACACTCACTTTTTGTTGTTATGTCGAAATGACCAAAAATATTGTATTAATAAAATCAAATAATAGCGTATCGATACTAGATTTTGATATTAAGAAGAAAAAGGTATGGCCATCAATTCCAGATCATTACGACCGTATAACAATAATACTACATTTCTATTTAAGAAATACAATTACTCTAACTATTTTAATGTTCCGTAGAAGACACAAATAGATCGAACTGCGTCTCCGAAACAAAATCGTGCCATGAAATTGGAGCATAAAGATGGAACAACTGGATTTAATTTACTGATTATTGTAACACGGTTGTTTACAATCTGGCTGCGAGTAGCTTAACGGCATAAACCACTGGAGGAAGATTACGGTAAGATAAAAACGAAAAGTAGAAGCAACAGTATCGATACCTCTAGATCAAATATCCACCATACCTTGTTAAAGCACTGGGCAATTCGACCTTGACAGGCAATCTTAACTTGTGCATTTTATTTGCTACATACACGCACTACTGTATCTTTTAAGTCTCTCACTACTCGGTACGTGCTAGAGAAGCGTGCGATTTACGGCAAACGATCATAACAGAAACATAACCAATAAACGTAAAGAACTCGACTCGAGACCTGTTTGAGACAATGCGTTACACGAGTGTGCAACAGGAAGGCATAAAAAAACACATTTAACAAACAACACATAAACTAACCAACAATACTTCAAAGGGGGAGAGTTCTAGTGAATGACTTTTACATGGACACTTGGATGGCAAACGACTTCTTTCTGGCTTGCAATCTTTCAGGGATGTAGGCTAGAGCTACGACGCAAACTCATATCGCGTGTTCACACTTATTCGTTTCAGGTCAGCGAAACGTTCGATGTTCGTTCATCGCACTTGCTAACCGCACTCGTAAAGTGTAATCCGCGCGATTCACTGTATATCGTATAGTCTCGAAAAGTTGACACTTAAACAAAAAAGAAGAACGAAGATGGCGTCAGCCAGATGACCGACAACGAGAAGACCGAGAGGGACAGGTCGAGAAACCCGAAGCGTTCTGAATCATCGCCGTATTTTCCTCTCGCACAAGTCATCCGATTCTTTAAAGCGACACGCGCGCAGTGGCGATCGCTGAAGGTGAACGAGCCACGATACCGACGGTTGTTAAACGACGACATTACCGACGCATACATTTCTGGCGGTAAATTCAAATGTTAGGAAAGGATTCGTGGAAATGTGAATTCTTGTTTAATTGAATGAAAAAATCATGTACGCTTCTTGGACGAGCTTAGTATTACTATTCTATAAAAGCTTTCTAACAATGATAGAAGTTATAACAATTTTATAATATTGTAACGTAGACATTTCTAAACTAATTGCCTATGAAATTAGGATTGATAAATGTATTGCCAGTGATTGCATAATTCAGGAACTCGAGTACTGTTATGCAGGTAAGGTCATAAACCATTTAGGTAAGCGTATGACATGATTGTGTCGCAGTTGATCCAGCTTCATTCGAAAAGATTAACATCTACGTGGAATATCGGCAAACAAGCTTAACATCACAGACAAGCGTTAAAGGCATAAGCAGCTTGTTGAAAATGTTGCTGGCTTACCTAAGCAACGCTTTCCGCCAGCAATAATCCGTTTCGATTACGAGCAGCTGTAATTTCATCATATACGCCGACGTTGCTCAGAGGCATGTAAAATCGACGAATTCGTGTGGCGGTGCTCGTTTGAACACCGATCAAAGGAATCTCCGCACCCTCGACGATTTTTTGCGTGTGTTTCCACTATTCGGGGCGCGACTCGTGGACGACCTAATTCACGGTTATCGATCAATCGGAAGGAAAGCGTGCTCGTGCACGCAAAAGTGGCCGCACGATTGTATACGACGGAAATCAAGCACAACGCAAATCTTCGGGGAACCCCCTGTTTCCTTCTTCCCTTCTCGAAATATTTCTCTCCCTCGAGAACCGTTGTACGTTATTCGAAATTTCGATCACGATACATCCACTGTGCACCTAGGATATATCGCGACAAATTCGGTCACGTATTACTACGACGTTCTCTCGTCGAATGGATCTCACGGCCTCATGGTGGCTTTACTGTCCGGAAGAAGTGGTTCGCCAACAGGTGCCACGGTCACATCTCGTCTCGTCACAGTGGAACTCGAGCTGTGACCGAAAAGGCACCGAAGCCTCCGCCGAGTTTCCGGTGGAAAGCCCACGAGCGCCGCGCAAGGGTTGTTCCGAAAAGCGCAAGCGCTTCTTCATAGATCGCGCTTTTCTCATGGACAAACCCGGTGGACTGATAGCAACCAATGACGTCATTGCAGAAGGGAAATTCATTCACGAATGTTCTACACAGCCGAGTTTCTAAGGTCAAGGACCTTCCCCTAGAAACTACGGATATGTGCGAATTACAGGCTTAATCTGCACTGTTCAGATTTTATCAATTTTCTGTAGAAATTTTCAGAAATTATACGCAAGTACGATACTGTACAATTTCGCACGTGCCCCTTATAATGCGAAATCAAAATATTCACAAGAAATTGGAAAAGAAATATCTCTTTCCTTCCTTTTCTTTTTAATTTAAAATGCACCATTTCATGATTAATCGTCAACTGTTATGTTGAGACTTTTATTAAGCGCAATGAGCACTTTTTCAAAATGCGTTTGTTATACGAAATATTTTAGAATTTGGAGTACGGTAATTTAACAGCAAAATGTAACGCTAAACGTTTAGGTTTAGCTTAAGGTTAACTGTTGTTTGTGCACACGTGCATTGAACGCTTTTATGCGCTACAGGAACTGAAATATAGGAAAGCCTCCCCTCTCCGTATTAGAAGATGCGAAGATATTTCCGTATTTGAAAAATCTATTTTTCGAAAAAAATGTTCTCAGTACATTGAATACATTGTGAATCACAATGACTGTCCAACCCATTACAATCACCGTAGACTAATATCTTAACTAAGATTTGAAGACTTTAATTCCTCACCCATTTATGCTTATCTCGCGTTTTCAGTTGATTATATCAGATTAAATAATATACTTAACGCATCTTGTGGAAGTACGTTTGAAAAAATATTTTAAAAAATGAATAGGTAACAATTTCAAAAATTCAGAACATCGCTGCTCACGATGTCATCAAAAATATCCGCCATCAGAGGATTAGTAAATGGACATGTATTCTGTAATTTCAATTTCCCAATTGAATTTCCTCAAAGAAGAATGTATATATAACTTCTATTTTCTAAACTGTATTGTTATCTAATTTTGTCGGAGATAATATACGTGCAATATTTATTATAGCGTAAAGTAAATTAAAAAATCAGTATCTATATATTTAAATTCGAAAAATACATCTGACGTACATTATAAGAGACAAAAGGCTAAAGGGGAAAATAACGATCAAGCCAAAATGTATTATCTTCATTTATAAATGTATAAGGTGGACCATGCAAATATCTAAATATCACGATATTCATAAGTACATTGAGAAATATTTAAGACGTAATAAATTCTTCAAAATGATAATAATATTCACATTTAAGAAACTTTTAAGTCATCGATGTTTTTCAATATTTAAATCTTATATTTTTTAATGTAATAGTTGATACAGATCGGGATTTCTTATAAGAATGAAATAATTTGTTTCCCGTTAAAACTATTAGTTTACGAAATATTTAATAATTTAAAGTAGTATTTAGCTAATAAAACGGTAGACGATAATAAGATGAATACAATTATACTACTTCGTTTGTGACTTTATTAAAGAATTTGTCATATAAGACAACCTAATTCTGTTTAAATTTCAATATAAAATTCTTTATACGCGATTGATAGTATTAGTATCAAAAATTAGTTTAAACACTTATATCTGCATTAACATCTGCAGTCTACCTATAATATTGTCCAACTGATGAAACTACTTTAAATTTTATTTCATTAAAATAATTCTTTTCTTAACTGATAGGTATCTTTACACATAACATTATTAACTTCTGTAATTTTTTATACGAATTTAAATTGGACAATAATACTTATGCTACTGCGCGTTAGTATATATTACTATACTGATATGTTCACTTCAAATTTATCAATTTCATACATTACTATATAAAAGGATACACGAATAGAATATTTTTTATATAATAAAATGCAATGTTAATTTAGTTCGTAATTAAAAAAACGGATAGTATACCAAATAAAGTTTACCTTTGTAAAGAAGAACCAATCGTAAAGCTTCTTTTATATGACATTGATGTCCATGAATATCTCCCTTACTTTAACTATTCCTTCTAACCTGAGAATCAGTAACAAAATAACAATCAAAGGAGCACTGTTATAGAGTGCATAATATTTATCCTTGTCAGTGTTAGTTACATAGTTAAATACATAATGGTAAGTCTTTATTAATACACCATTATTTCCTATAATATTTATTCGATTTATTCCAAAACAATATAACCTCAAATACAATAAGTATTTTCATTATAGGATGTATTTCTTATGATTCGACGAAAAAATATGACCATATTTACTGATGCAAGGGACGATACTACAGTTGCAGAGCTTAAAAATATGATAGAAGGTAAAAAATGCATAACTTATATGTATACGAATTAAAGAAACAGTGCATGACGTTTCGATCGATAATCTCTATTTTCCTTCTTGTTTCATATCTTTATATGCATATATTATCATTAAAACTTGACATTTCTGAAATGCAAGTAACTATATTTATTTATATATATATATTAATATTATTATTTCGTAGGTATATTAAAAATACCACCTTCAAATCAGCAGTTGTACAATAAAGATAATATTGTGATGTCAAATGGTTCACTTTTATCTGCATATGGAATAACATCTGCAACAGCAAAACCACAGTGTCCTGCATTAATAGGGTTAGCCATACGTGAAGACAATGGTAGATTTGAACCGTTATCAATGACTCCATACTCATTACCACCGGACCTACCAGATGTGATGAAATCTCAAGAATGCAACGGCTTTGATCATATAGCTGGTCTCAATGTTCAACATTGAATCAATTGACAATAAGGTGTTGAATTCAATATACTTTTATGGTTGTCAGACATTCAAACAAAACTTACGTAAACATAATGTGAATATTAGGACATAAACTTTATTATAATTTACTGGAACAGCTTTTTGTAATGTTTTCAAATGCTTTTCTTGTATTTCACTATATGTATCTTATATAACTACGAATTTCCATAAATTTTTTATGAAAGATGAAATACAAGATAATGCCTTAGATTTTGCTATGTCTCAATAACAATGATATTTATTCATATAATTGGAAGATACTGATTATAAAATGATTGAGTATTAGTTTTTTGTAATTAAAAACATCTGGCAAACAATCATTTTTTTATACTTGAAGAGGGTGGTTAATACATCCACCACATAGAATTATGAATACGAAATTTATTAATTTGTACACATCTAAACAAAATATTAGATGTTATTAAATGAAATTCAATATTGTAAACATTGCTAAAGATATTTTAGGGTCATAATGTTTACTACTCTACAATAGAATATTATATACATCAATATGTTATTCCAATTAGAAAGCAGTATACTCTCTATGAGAATACTCATGATCTAAATAATGTAACTAATTTAAGAGTAACTAGCGTATCCTATTTTATTCAACAAAGTACATCATGATCTATTATACTTAATTTATATATGTGATTTTAAATTTGAAACCTTGAAATTTTCCCAAATTAATGTAAGGTAGTAAATGATTATATGTTATTTGGTATTCTATTATCCTTGTAATTTATTGCATTCATGTTCATAATTTGGTTGCCATATAAAAGTTGAAATATACACTGTTAACGATTTTTATTATCAATATGTATTTCATGGTGTTTATATATAATTGAGATAAACATTCTAATCTAAATAAATTTACTAATATTATTAATTCATCGTATTAATATTTTATTAATATTACTCAATAATAATAATAATACATATTTTACAATCCACAAATAACTTCTGTTATGCAGGGTGTGGCAAGACAAATGGTACAACTGGAGCGAAGGTGATTCTACATATAAAAACAAAGAATAAAATTCTTTTAGAGAAAGCTAAGTTTTTCCAAAAAATCAAATTTAAGCTTCTTCTAAACCAACACGAAATATTCGCAAATAATTTCTTTGTATTTTTAGCGAAAAGTTTTCGTATTGGTGTAAACGAAACTATATAGTTTTATTTTTTTTTAAACATCATATAAAACTATATAAAGCTATCACGTACACGAGATTTCTTGATAACTCATCTAGTGCGTGTATAATTAAAAAAACTAAACTTCTTTATACAACAAGTCTTAAATATAGAGGTTAACGGTGATTAAATGTACGTCTGTTTTTAAGTCCTAATTAACGCATATAAATCATTGCCTTATAAATAAGATAATTGTAGTCTAATGCTATGGCATTTTAACACATTAATTGTATTCATTCCCAAAGACTGCATGTAAGGATTTGACCTCATGGTTGATCATATTATTTCATAATCTTCTTGCTCCATGCAGGGTATGGGTATACACCATGGATAGTATGGATAGGTACTTTTAAAGATCAATTAAACTTTATAAATTACGATATCGAAAGACGCTGATTAACGATAGAGTTTATCATGTAAAAAGTAGATAAAATATATTATTCAGTTTATCAGACAAAAAATATAGACCTATAATGTAAATATCAATTATCCTGATCTGTTATTCAATGTCATTTTCTGTGACATCAATATTTCTAAACTACAAGTTCACAAATGATTAAGTATTGTGTCTGTATTAAAAGAAAAAGGTCTTGTAAATGTTGGTGCATTCTTCCATAAGGTGTAGAATGTAAATTAAATAAGTATTACGTTGTCTGCATACTTACTTTAGCATTATTAGTAACAATTTTAGAGATTATTATATGTAAATTCAAATGTCATCTAACACCACCACTTTTGTAGTAAATATTGAAGAGACATAAATGTTACTATCATTTAACTATATTCAATGGAGGAGTCCACAGAATGAAAAAATTAATTAAATACATACACGTTAAACTGATGTTTAAATTAAATTTTTTTGAAAATTTATTTTGTTCCGCTCTGTATTTATATATTGTTACAATTTGTTTATATGTCAGGATATAATAAGCAAAAATTATGTCTTATGTTTATTTTTATTTAATATTTCCATAATAAAGTCTTTATACAACTCCTTCTTACTTGGTATATAATGACCTCCTTCATGTTTTATTTTCTTCTTATCTACAAACATTTCACTAACTTCTTCTGCCATTTCTGTAAAATAAGCAATGTAGTTACAAATTTACTATTGTATTGAATTATTCAATTATTAAATACTATCTAACCTGTTGGAATAACTAGATCATTTTCTCCATAAATGTGTAATGAAGGTATATTTATTTTTTCATCATAATATATTTCATGAGGTGCGCATAACGATTTAAATCCTGATATAATAATTGCAAACTTAAATTTAGCTTGCAATACTGCAAAAGAAATGTTTTTAATTAAAATTTTCCTGTTTAGTTTATATAATTACAGCATTTATATTTGCTTACATTTTTTTTGCTGCATACAACAAAGTATAGTAACAAATGCTGCACCTTGCGAAAAGCCTAGAATACCATCAAATGGATCAGACTCTTTAATTGTTTTTTCTACCAAAGCCACACTGTCTTCAAAACCAACAGATAAATTGCTTGGTACAGTTGCTTTAAATATATAATCTTCTGTATTAAACCACCATCCATATCCTAAATTAAATTGTATAAATTACTATTTGTATATTTATAAAAAAATTATAGCAATTATATAAAGACCCAGATTATAATTTCTTATGTTATAGAAATGAGAGTTTTTAAATAATACCTTCTGTTGATTCATCAGTACCAAAATTTTTTTCCATTGAAACTTGATGTGGTGCTTGCAAAAATACAAACTCCACATTCTTTTTAAATCCTTTCCTTAAGGATCCTAATTTTGTGTAGAAAATATTATTTGACTGAGCATATCCATGTATAGCAAGTATCTAAAATATAAACACTGTAAACATTTTATTTTAATTTATATTTAAATAGAATTATTGACTGCTTACACGTAATTTTTCAGTTACTGTAGTCATAATATTTGACAATTATATATTATTTCAGATAATATATTAAAACCACTTTGCTCGTTCTGTTTATTCTAACCTTTTACACTTTGACACTCCGTTACGGATTAATTTCATGTTTAGACATAATCGTTTTAACCAATACCAGAAATACGTATGTTGGAAAGTAAAAATATAAAATTTAACGTAATAGTAAAGTTATGAAATGCCAATTAGATTAAAAAATTACACAATGCATTACAAAAAATTCGACAACTTTTTAATATCAAATAATAGGTTAATTTTTGGTATATTTTATATTTTTTTGAGATAACGTCGCCAAAAACCACGTGGATATAAAATATTTATTTTCAGACAAAATTAAATTTCTGCACATACGTAATCAAACACGATTTAAATGTAAAGTGATGTATTGATCTCAGGAAAATTATAAATATAGAATTAAGACGTATTAAATAGTAAAATTTTAATATTTAGAACAAATTTGAAGACACTTTTTCAGTTTTTTCCCATAAGAAAATAAAGTGAATACTATGTATTCCTATTTTTCTTCTCAAAAACATAATTCTAACAACATTAAGAAAACAATATTTCTTTACATCTTAAAATTAAAGGATCGTTCTTAAATATAATATAGGTACATATATTATGATTTTATTTATAGTAAAATATATGTAAATGCTCAAAGATCACTAAGATCAACAGCTTCCACTTGTGCGCAAATGGTTTCATCATTAGAAATATTTTTTTTAGTTTCTATTTTATCTTCTCTAGGGAAATACAATTTTGTCCATGATCCAGGTTCAGCTTTTCTTAATTTGATTTCTACTTTAGTAGGAAGCATATTAACGCTACTTTGTTCAATGTCGACAACCTGTAAAAATAAGTGTTCAATTGTAAATAGAGTACATAGGGTGATACTCTAAAGTAAAAATCTTTAAGAATTTTGAATTTAAAATACATACCCCTCTTAACTCCAAATCATGAGAATATCTGGAGTTATCTTCTGCAAAACATAAATCCACGGTTAAACGTATAGGATTTAACTTAACTGTGGATAAATCCGGCAGATACTTCTTAGCAAAAACTGAAACTACAACAAATGTCCCTGTTTGATGCCAATCCAACCTGCACTCTTTCTTTTTACCAACATTCTGGAAAAAATCAATTAATTTTTAAGTAGTGTAATTAACAACATATCTTAACGCGTTTACAAACAATGGTCAAATTTGAAATACCCTTACTAGTGGCCATGCTTTTCTTGCAATTGTTTCATGCGATGTGTTATTTATATAATTTTTACACATTTAAAATATAGTAAATAAACCAAACAAAACATTTTATCAATCAACAGCGTCACACATATGTGATGCTGAGCTCTTTAAATGAATTGCTGTGTCACAAGTATGTGACACGTGGTGTTGAACATGTTAATATTCCAAAATACAGAATTATGAGAATTCTTGTTTTACCTTGGAAATCCAAGTGTGTTTTCCTTGCATACACCCTGGTTGCTCCAAAAATATAGAAAAGTCTGTAGTTTTCTTTTGACAGCAAGACCAATATTTCATACCCTCATGGAAGATAGGAGTACCAGGATGATGATTACAGACTTCATTATTAGATTCAGGACCATTATATGTAGCTTTACATGCATTATTTTTACAAGTCTGGCCAATTTGAATGTTAGCATCTGATACATTTTCCAATGACTCTGATGACTTTAGCCCTTTAATTTGTTCTAATAACGTTGGTGATACAGTTGGTGTTAAAGTAACTTGTGGAGAATTAAAAGGAGGCCTTTTCAACGTAGGACCATTGTTAATAGGTTGTGCGATAACTTCTATTATTTCATTAGTTTTAGACTTATCAACTGCAGGCTTTTCTGGCTCTGGTGGCTTTATATTCGAGTGGCATGATTTAACACAACCTTTAATATTTAAAAATTCTGTGAAATCTGTACATTTTTTGTTACAACAAGACCAGCCTTTATAAGCATCGTGAAACACTGGATAACCAGGATGATGAACACAGTCATCTAAAAATGTGATTATAAAATCAGACTTTTAAATATTGAAAAAACAAAAAAATTGAATCAATTTTTCATATTATGTCTGGAAATTTGTTTAATATAAAATTGAATAACGTACCTTCTTTGTTGTTACTGGGATCAAATTTTTTCCCACATCCACGATTGTAACAATGCAACAGTGTTGTTTCTTGCGACATTTTTAACTTTGTCTAAATTAATTTAATTTGACACCACACGTAGTATGAAAACAGGAATACGTTAACCTTACGAGAGAACTGCGATACCTTTCATCCACGACAAGTGCTCACTCGAACGACATTTTCGTGTTTGCGCTTCCGAAAAACTTCTAGCACGTTCTAGAATATATACTTATACTTGACTTCTAAATGTGGCATCTGTGAAAAATTTCGAATCGATTGATGTGTACACGTTGCCACGGAAATATAGTACTAAAGATAATGTCATTGGATCGATAGTATCAATCTAAAAAACTATTATAAAAAATTAATAAACAATATTTGTAAAAATATTATGTACTACTTTTATTGACCGCGGAAATTTTTACAAAATCATATTTCCATAAATTCGCAATTAAACAAAAACTCATTTCTGCCATTTGAAATAAAATACAATTAATAATTTTAGTAAATTTGATTACAAATTTTAATCTGTTAGCCATCAACTCTAAATTGAATTTTATTGTTTTTTTCAGTCCCTAAGAACATAATAAAGTCATTTAATAATAAATAAACGTCGAATTATAAGTTAAGCTTCTTTTCTACAAATGTATTACAATTCTATTATTTATGTATACATAAATATTTGTACAAAAAATACTAATAATTAATTAAATTAAAAACAATATTTTTTTCATGTCGTCAATTGTTATCACAGACGAGGTATAGTCCTATATCTCGTTTGTGTTTCAACTAATGCAGTATAGAGTTTTGCTAACTTTAAAATGTTATTACACATGATTACTACTGACATCTTTCTTAAAACGAAGTAACGTATCTATGTTTATCATGTTTAAAGGAATATATTTAACAATGAGTAATTTGTTTGGAAAACATATTTAAAATCATAAAGAAAAAGAAAAGAGAAAGCAATGTAAATACATAATATGAATCATAACCTTCAAAATAATATATTAAATATATTAGTAGTATAAAACGTTAATGTCAAACATGGATATTCATATTACTCTTTTGATATATTATGTATTTTTTATTATTCACAGCAGTAGTAAGTTTGTTACATCTAATCTATTATTATTCTATTATATAATTAATTTTTATTTGATAATTTATTTTTAAAATAAACTGCAGGTGGACTTCATAGAAATTTGAAGTACTATGAAACTCTTCATTCATCTAATTTTCAACACAGAATTGTGAAGAGAGGTATTCAGCATAGTTATCATCCTTACAATAAAATAAGCGAATTAGAATTTTATTCTCATGGACGGTAAGATTATAGTTGTCTGTTACTATTTATACCAAATTTTTCTGTCAAAGAACTATATATTCTCTTTTTGGACAGATATTTTCGATTAATTTTAACACCAAGAAGAGAAGTAATTCATTCCAAATTTAAAGCATATGAAGTCAATGGCGATGGAAAAGAAAGAACTATACACTTAGGTAGAATAATATACGTATATTCGTATATTCAGAAGGTATATATTTCTTCTTTAATTCTAATATATTTTCATATTTAAGATCATGAAAGTTTCTATCATGGCCGTGTATTTGGTGAAATTGATTCTCATGCCCAAGTACATATCGATAATGGAATTTTTACAGCCAGTATAACAATTTCTGATGAAACATTTCACATCGAGGTATTCCTTTTATCATATTTTAATTAAAATGATATATGGTTTTGCATTTTCATAATAACTATAAATATATTATTTTTTAGCCATCTTGGAGGCATTTACCTCATTTAGGGAATGAAACTATGATTATTTATAAATCATCAGATGTTAAATTAAGTTGGGAACATATTCAAAATGGTGAAGGTCACACTCACGGTGCTCCTAAAACTTGTGGATATGTGAAAGAAGAATTAGGTCAGTTATGCTGATATAAATACTCACATTAAGTAATATTGCATTTTTGCACCATATCTATGTGTATTACAGACATTCCAATGAACAATGAAGTAGAAACTCGAGAAGCAACAGATTTTACAGAAGACAGACATTCCAGAACAAAGAGACAAACCGAAACTTATGAATATACTCCTACTAAAACAAGGTGCCCTCTACTATTAGTCGCGGATTATCGTTTTTACCAGGAAATGGGTGCTAGCAGTACAAAAACAACAATCAATTATTTGGTAAAAAGTGATATTAGCGAAACTAAGTATCTGTTAGCTTATCTTATTTTACAAAAATTCTTTATACATTTTGTAGATAAGTTTAATCGATAGGGTACATAAAATTTATAATGATACTTTGTGGCAAGAACGGCAAGAGCAAGATGGATTTAAAGGAATGGGTTTTGTTATTAAAAAAATAGTTGTCCACAGCGAACCAACTCGTGTAAGGGGTGGTGAAACACATTATAATATGGTTAGAGAAAAATGGGATGTACGCACATTATTAGAGGTATAATTACATTCTTGTTATTTTTAAAAAATTTCATTATATTGTATCTTTATATCATAATCACAATATTGTGCATTTAGGTATTTAGCCGAGAGTATAGTCACAAGGATTTTTGCTTAGCTCATTTATTCACTGATTTAAAATTTGAAGGTGGGATACTGGGATTAGCATATGTAGGATCACCTCGTAGAAACTCAGTGGGTGGAATTTGTACACCAGGTACATATTAAAAGATATATTTCACTTATAAATATATGTTTCCTTATAAATGTTGAAACAAATTTTATTTGATACTTTTGCAGAGTATTTTAAGAATGGCTATACACTATATCTTAATTCAGGATTAAGTTCTAGTAGAAATCATTATGGACAAAGGGTGATTACTAGAGAAGCCGATTTAGTCACTGCACACGAATTCGGACATAATTGGGGTTCCGAACATGATCCAGATATAACAGTAATAACCTTTAAACAATCTAGTTATTATTTATCAAATGATTAAAACTAAGTGATTCTTTTTCTTACATACATCTTTAGTACTTTAACATTGTTTAATAGGAATGCAGTCCAAGTGCTAGTCAAGGAGGTTCATACTTAATGTACACATACAGTGTTAGTGGATATGATGTAAATAATAAGGTACTGTCAATTATCATAAAAAGAATAATACAACTCAAGAACTAAACGATACTGATTATAAAGTTATGTATGGTTCAGCGTTTTTCGCCCTGTAGTTTAAGATCCATTAGAAAAGTTCTACAAGCAAAATCCGGTCGTTGTTTTTCTGAACCGGAAGAATCATTCTGTGGCAATTTACGTGTCGAAGGAGATGAAGAATGTGATGCAGGATTACTCGGAACTGAGGATAATGATGCTTGCTGTGATAAAAATTGTAAACTACGTAGAAATCAAGGGGCAGTTTGCAGGTAATTATTTAATACATTATAGAAACTATCGCGGTGGTAGATATTGGAAATGTTATTTAATAGAAAATATATTTCAGCGACAAAAATTCACCTTGTTGTCAAGGTTGTGCATTCATGCCGCTAGGTGTAAAATGTAGAGACGCACAGTATGCAACTTGTGAACAAGAATCACGTTGCACAGGAGCGTCCAGTGAATGCCCTAGATCTCCACCAATGAAAGATGGTACAGGTTGTCTTGAGAGAGGCCAGTGTAAACTTGGAAAATGTGTACCATATTGTGAGACGCAAGGCTTACAAAGTTGCATGTGTGACACAAGTATGCTTATTGTTTATTGTGTTATCAACTTATATATTATACTAAAAGCTACAAGTTTTTATATTAAATTGTTATTCACAGTTGGAGACGCATGTAAAAGATGTTGTAGAATGAGCTTGAATGAAACATGTTTCCCCATAGATCCACAAGATATTTTACCCGATGGAACTCCATGCATTCAAGGCTTTTGCAATAAGGTAATTTTACTTTAAAGACGTTATTATAAATTTTCTACAGATACACGAATTAAAAAATATTTCTAGGGTATTTGTGAAAAGACAATTCAAGATGTGGTAGAAAGATTCTGGGATATTATCGAAGATATAAATATAAATAAAGTCATGCGATTTTTAAAAGATAATATAGTAGGGGCAGTCATAATTATAAGTGCTATCGTGTGGATTCCAACTAGTTGCGTTATTAGTTACATTGACCATAGACGCGTTAAAGAAAGTGAAAAAAAATGGCGCTGGAAACATACGGAAGAGCTTATTCATCCTGACGAACAAAGACAAGTTATTTATATAGGTGGACAAAGACAAAGAATGCAACAAGTATCACAACAATCATAAATTATTTGTATACATATATACTAAAACACCATATGTAATTAAGTTACTAGTCATATGTTTATGTTTTATATTTTGTACATTTTTTATTTATTATGTAGGTACATACAAGTATTATTTTAAAAATGAATATAAAAGATAACTAAGATACAAAGATAAATACTTTAAATTAAAATATACCAAATCAATAATAATATGTATATTTTATATGATAGTTTCTTCTGTCAATGTTTTTATTACACAGGGTGATAAAGGAAAAGTATTCATAATTTCTAGGGTATGTAATACTCATTGAATACCATAAAAAAGTGCTAATAAAAATGGATTGAAAAATTAATATGTTTGAAGTTATAAACAATTTTTTGTTTCAATTGAAGCTACTGATTTTTTACTTCAAGAATTATTGTACAGTATAGAAACAATGGAGTATTTGTCTTTTCCCTCTATGCTAATATCACAACACAGGATTACCACAATCATAATATTATAACCAAGGAAAGAAGAAATGATAAGATAATCCATTGTTTTCATACAGTTTTAAATGACAGGATCAAATATTATACATTAGAAGAAAAAAATCACGGTTAGTTTCGTATCTCTATAAAAAGTCCCTTTAAAAAATATGTTTCATTTAAAGTATTTCTTTATACAATAAATAGTTTAGATGTAAATTTAGGTCATACAGTTAAATAACTTATCCTGTACCTACATGCATATATTTGTATTAAGTTTTATTTACAAACAAGAAATACAAAATTTTTAATCATATTTTCTTACTGGTTGTAATTTATTTAAAAGAATATATTCAATGTATCCTATTACAAAATTAGAGTGACTTCCTAAACTAGATACATAAAAAATGTAGAAATTTTGTATTTGACTTAAATAAGGTTTACTTGTAGATTCAACCCATAAGGTGAGGTTCTCAACCTCAGTATCGCATATTATTACCTATTGCATACTTCTGTATTACCTTCTCAAACACACGTGTTGTGTCTTGTAGCACTAACCTCTCTGAGATAAGATTACGTATAATTTAGTAACGTATCTTTTACATATGACACATTGAATCTGTGAATTACAACACTACCAGCCGGTACCGAATAATTCGTGAAGTAGTTGCTGAAAATTTCCTCAAGATGATAGAAAAACTACCGGAAACGATTAATTTCCCGAAGGAGGAAGAAGTGATTTTGGAATTGTGGAAAAAGTTGGACATTTTTCACAATTGTTTGAAGCAATCTAAAGGAAAACCAAAATATGCATTCTATGATGGTCCACCTTTTGCTACCGGGTTACCTCATTACGGACATATACTAGCCGGTACGATAAAAGACGTTTTAACAAGGTATGCTCATCAATCTGGTTATCATGTGGAAAGAAGATTCGGTTGGGATACTCATGGATTACCTGTCGAATTTGAAATAGATAAAACTCTAGGCATTAAAGGTCCTGATGATATTGTTAAAATGGGAATAGCAAATTATAACAAGGAATGTAGAAATATTGTAATGAGGTATGCAACAGAATGGGAAATCATAGTGAGCAGAATTGGTAGATGGATAGATTTCAAGAACGATTACAAAACTCTTTATCCTTGGTACATGGAATCTATTTGGTGGATTTTTAAAGAGTTATATAATAAGGGTCTTGTTTATCAAGGTGTTAAAGTAATGCCTTTTTCGACTGGTTGTAATACACCACTGTCTAATTTTGAATCAGGACAAAATTATAAAGAAGTTGTTGACCCTTCTGTAGTTGTATCATTTCCTTTGGTGGACGAGCCAAATGTTTTCATTCTTGCTTGGACCACTACACCTTGGACTTTACCCAGTAATTTGGCACTTTGTTGCAATCCTAATTTTGAATATGTAGAAGTTAAGGATCATGCTTCTGGTAATATCTATATTATATTAGAATCAAGTTTAGAACTTATATATAAATCTAAGGATTTATATACTATACAAGGTAAAAGAAAAGGATCTGATTTAAAGGGAAAGATGTATGTACCTCTTTTCCCATATTTCCAAAATTTAAAAGAAAAAGGTGCTTTTAAAGTATTAAATGATACATATGTAACTTTAGAGACTGGTACAGGCATTGTTCATCAAGCTCCTTATTTCGGCGAAGATGATTATCGGTGTTGTTTGGCAGCTGGTATTATAACAAAAGATCAAGAAATCGTATGTCCTATTGACAGCTGTGGACGTTTCGTGGAACCAGTTCATGATTTTGTTGGGAAATATGTGAAAGATGCTGACAAAGAAATTGTTAAGTACCTTCAAGCAAATAAAAGATTAATTTATAATGGTTCTACTAAACATAGTTATCCATTCTGTTGGCGGTCCGACACTCCATTAATTTACAAAGCTGTGCCATCTTGGTTCATTAGAGTAGAAGCCATAAAAGATAAACTTGTAACAGCAAATAGTAACACTTACTGGGTGCCGGATTATGTTAAAGAAAAACGATTTGGTAACTGGCTACGGGATGCCCGTGATTGGGCTATCAGTAGAAACCGCTATTGGGGTAATCCAATTCCTTTATGGATTTCAGAAGATGGACAAGAAATTGTATGCGTTGGAAGCATTGCAGAATTAGAAGAGTTGACAAATACAAAAGTAACTGACATTCATAGGGAAAGTATAGACCATTTAACTATTCCCTCAAAACGACCAGGGCATCCACCATTAAAGCGAGTACCGGAAGTCTTTGATTGTTGGTTCGAATCTGGTTCCATGCCATATGCACAGATGCACTATCCCTTTGAACATAAAAAAGAATTTGAGGATAATTTCCCAGCAGATTTTATTGGAGAAGGTATCGATCAAACTCGAGGATGGTTTTACACTCTTTTAGTTATATCGACTGCTCTTTTTGGAAAAGCTCCATTTAAAAATCTTGTTGCCAATGGTTTGATATTAGCCTCCGATGGACAGAAAATGTCCAAACGCAAAAAAAACTATCCAGATCCTATAGAAATTGTTGACAAATATGGAGCAGATGCACTTCGTTTATACTTAATTAATTCACCTGTTGTGAGAGCTGAAAATCTGCGTTTCAAGGAAGAAGGAGTTAGAGATGTCATAAAAGATGTATTCTTACCTTGGTATAACGCATTTAGGTTCTTACTACAAAATATTGAAAGATTTCAAAGAGAAGAAAAGATTACTTTTGTGTACGACGATACTAAAGATATATGCTCTAATAATATAATGGACAGATGGATTCTATCTTTTACTCAAACATTATTACAATTCTTTAAACAAGAAATGAAAGCTTATAAATTATATACTGTTGTACCTCACTTGGTGAAATATATAGATAATCTTACTAATTGGTATGTAAGAATGAATAGAAAACGTATTAAAGGTGATGGTGGTGTAGTTGATTGTCAGCAGGCATTAAATACTTTATTTTCTGTTCTTTATACTATGATACGTATAAATGCCCCATTTACTCCATTCTTATCTGAATTTATGTTTCAATATTTAGTAAAAGTACTTCTGCCATCCAAAAGCAACATGGACAGTGTTCATTACCAAATGATACCTGAACCTTGTTCACAATTAATCAATGAAAATATTGAAAAAGCTGTATCGTATATGCAAACTATAATTGAATTAGGTCGCGTCATAAGAGATAGAAAAACAATCCCTATTAAATACCCATTACCAGAGGTTGTGGTGATACATCAAGACGCTGAAGTACTAAAGGAAATAGTACTGCTAAAATCATATATTCTTGAGGAACTTAATGTGAAAGAATTAACAGTTACTACAGATAAGCAGAAGTATGGTGTTACATTGAGAGCAGAACCAGATCATAAAATACTTGGAGCCCGACTTAAAGGAGAATTTAAGTCTGTTACCCTAGCTATTAAAGAACTTTCTGACGAACAGTTACAAACCTTTGTCGAGAAAAAAGAGATTACTGTACAAGGTCATAAACTTGGAGAACAAGATTTACGTTTAATGTTTAGTTTCACTGGACCAGCTGCTGAACAATTGTCTAAGCAATATGAAGCTCATAGCGAAGGAAATGTTTTAATTCTCTTAGATGTTACTCCGGATGAAAGTATGCATAATGAAGGAATAGCAAGGGAAGTAATCAATAGGGTTCAGAAATTAAGAAAGAAAGCTCAGTTGGTTCCATCAGATGAAGCAATTGCATATTATGATATCGAAGATAAAAATAGTAATTTAGCAAAGGTAATTATTAGTCACAAAGAATTTATTGAAAGTTCAACTAAAACACCCCAAGAAGATATGTCCAAGATGCCAAATGAAGCAAATATAATTATAGAAGAAATGCAGAAAATTAAGGGAGTGAACATGAAACTAACTTTAGTAAACACTGGTCATAAGATTGAGAATAATAAGGCAGTCATAGAAGAACCATTATTAAAGTATGTAAATGTTGAAGTTCTGGATATAAAACCAAGATTTGGTGCTACAAGTTCTGTTGGTACTATTTTATTAGAAGCTCCAAAATCATTAACTCGTATCTCATATGAACAATTAAAACAAGAAATTGAGTTACTCTTTGGTATTTATGGTTATCCTTATGAAATGTATATTGATACTAAGCTTGTGTCAGAAATAACTGACATTTCTTTATTACACAAACAAACTATAAAAGTAACAAAAGCAGGAGCATCTATAAATCAATTGTCAATAACTTCAACACATCCAGTTTGTAAATTTGTTAATGTCAGTGGCACTAAAGAAAAAGGTACTATCCTTTTAGAGAATCCGAAAGGAAATTTTAGTTTAGATCATGCTATGCTGAAACAACGATTGCATCTCTTTTTTAATACAATTAACGTTTCTGAATCTTTACCTCCTGAAATGAATCATTTGCATGGAAAGACTTTGCATTTAAGTTAACTTTTATTTAAAAAATAAATTTTATTTATTATTTATTTATCGATAATATTATTCCAAATTATGTGCTTTCATTGTAATGTAATCTGGTAACTATCTACAAAATTACTTATTTATTTTACAAAAAAGTCATTGTAATTGATAACTTTCTCCTGCAAACAAACAGTATGTACTTCTAACCATTTTGTATAATGAAAAGTTAATAAAGGGCTATAATTTATGTAATATGTAATTATATTTTTATACTATTCACAACTTTTAATTTCCTTTAGTGCATATGAAAAATGAATATTTATGTAGTCTAGATTTAGCAAAATACAGGAAAATATTGTATAGACATTTATTCACATACAATAAAACAATTGCAGTAATGTTCTGTAATTAAAGTTTTCTACAAAACACTATAGAACAATGTAATACAGAGGTAATAAATATTAGCTTTGAATTCATCAGTTATAAATTACTATATTCGTTGACACTGTTAACAGAAATAATAATAAAATTTATTTTCTAGAAGTAATGTGAAGTGTATCTCACAGAAAGTTATATATACATTCTTGATTTTAGTAATTTTTCAGTAACAATGAATATAATGGTGCTCAAAAAATAATATATATCTTCACATTTAACTTTCACATTCTAAAATTGCAAGTTTTACACTTTATAACTTTCTTGCACTGAAATTAAATACGTTTTACTCTAATGGTAACTGCAATCTACAATTAATAATCATACATGTCTTATTCAGATTTAAGTCACGCGTGCATGATAGAATTTTCAACTCCAATGAGAGAACCACAGCATGTAAATATACAACATCAGCTTTCTTGAAAATAATATAATACAGCACCATTGTAACCATAGTACATAATATTTATTATACAACTAATTCAACAATAGAATAGTATTTATCAAAGAATAATTTTACATAAACCTAAATGAACATTTATGGGCTAGTCATTAAAGTATTTTTTGATACAAATTTAATGTGATAACATACGTTTTCTTAATCTATCATATTTTTATGTTAACTCAAGATAAGTTTCTCTGAATATATAAATTAATATTGAATATGATACATACAAATTCATTTCAACTGAAATGCAATCATACTAACTA